TTTTTTTTCTATTCTTTATTTATTTTGGTTTATAATTTACTGGGACAATAACACCAATATATTAAACAAAAAGGAGAAGAGGATTTGTATGAATAATTGTCGTGCACTATTTCCATTGATTTGGGGTCTATATATACAAGTATGAAAGTACAAGTGTGAAAAGAATTATACCTCTAATTATGATTCCTATAATCAAGAAAATTACAATGCATAAATTAAATTGATTTTGTGAATGTCAACTTTCCCAATTATATATATGTTGTACAACTTTTCTGATCATCCTAGCTAGCTGTCCAAAGATGAAAGTTCCATGTGAATGCAAAGTTTGTACATCAAACGATCAACACTGATTATAATGAGAAAATCATAGTCATTACAAGGATACTGTTTTCCTGCCCAAGGAAAAAGTAATTTTTTTTTTAACTGGAAGGGAAAACTTTTTTTTTAGTTTGGTGGAAGGGAAAACTTGGTTACCTTTCAAATTGTCTTGTGCATCTTTATAGAACCTTTTTCTTTTTTTTGGGCTGAAGATTTTTCTTGTACTAGCTACTTGGTCAAGCTAAACGTTGGTTAGTGTTATAATATGAATTGTCCGTAATAAATTACATATGTAGGATGAATTAATAAATTAAGATGCAGGTATGAGAGCACGATTGCTCACTTTCCATGCATACACGTATGGGAAAGTGTGAGAATGTAAAACTATTGTTTACCCACTAACAGCTAATCTATTAGGATGTATTGATAAAATAAAGTAATTATGTTATTAGTGTCATAATTGGTCGCTAAAATTCGATCTAAAGTCTACGTCATGTAATACACATATATGTAGTGGGGATTCATGATTAGATCTGTGGCCTTAACCAATTATATAATGCCTGATGGGCTTAATTAGGTTTTTTTTTTTATTTTTTTTATTTTTTTTTTATTTTTTTAACATACAAAAAGCAGAACGCACAAAATTTACTAATAGATCGACCACAAACGCGGTGTAACACAGTTACACATGGCTTAGTTACTTTCTTCATTGCACTATTTATATGTTGAAACCTAATTGATAAGTATTCTTTGATCACCTGTACTGTATCCAAGCCCACATATTTTTAGTGGGATCTGTAACAACAATATTGTTAGAGCCTTTGTTTTGTGAGTTAAAATGGGCCAACTACATAAGAGGCTCGTACCTAAATCTGAGTATCCCTACTTTAACTACCTTTTTTGTTTGTTTTACGAGTTTGAGTAAACAAATAAAAAAGCTTTCTTTTGTTATTTTTTTTTTTAGAGGTTATACCACTCTAATGACAAAGCGTCCATCCACGTCAGGAACAGAGGTTTTTGATGTAATTGCTTTTAGATTTCTTTTTTAAATCGAGATTGGTTTGGTGTTCAGTCTACCTACTGTATCAAAAAGAATGCATTGGATGGATGCGGGCATTGAGAAGGAAGGACGCTTTCAGAGGCTAAAGGCCATGAGGAGATACCGTCTTTGATCTATCGATCTCCGATCGGGAAAACCCATCACTGTCTTGGCTGTGTTACCAAAAGTTTTGGGAAAGTCGGAATATGAGAGCACTCATTTTAGGATGGGCTTATTATTTAGATCCTTTCACATCACTGTCTTGGCTGTGTTACCAAAAGTTCTGAGAAAGTCAGAATATGAGAGCACTCATTTTAGGATGGGCTTACTATTTAGATCCTTTCAGCAGTTATTCTTTCCGCACTCGGAACTAGACAAGTAATTCAGAAAAAAAAATTAGAAATACCACTCGTGTTAAAAAATATTATTTATACCACTGCACTTATAAATAAATAATTTTTATTTAATTAATAAAGAGAAAGTAAAAAATCACAATAACACTCAATTATTTTAAATGACATAAATAATGTCTACCAAAAAAAAATAACCATAACAAACCATATACTTTTCTCCAATATAATATAATTTTCATAAAAATTCAACCGACGTTCTCTCGAAAGTACTATTTGTGATTCTAACCAATAATATCGTGGAATTTAAATATGGCAATTATATACAAATGGAGAAGTTTAACTTTCATTACTATATGTATATGGCACTAGAAGTCTAGAAGTAAGAAATTAAAAAGAACTTACAAGAGAAGCGGCCACCGTTGATTTCATGACTTTGTAGTATATGTGGGCCGGCTAAAATCTTCATCCTCTTAAAATATGCATTCGGTTATTAATCATTTTTCTACTCTCTTTTTTGTCAAGTACTTAGATATATAGTTACATTTAATTTTCTCTTTTGAAAGAAAAAATAATTGAACTTACATTAATTAGTTGAACTAAGAGTTCCCTAAAGTATTGCAATATTAGATTGGAAGAATGAGGGAAATAACATATAATTTAGGAGGAGAATAAAAATTATTTGCTCAAGTTTTTGACCAAACTATATAAGTCCACTTTGCCACAAGACATAACAAGAAAAAATGGAGAATTTATCCTTAAAAGTGTATGAGTCTATATTCAAAAAGCCAATACAGTCAAACTCGCGGTGCGCTTAGACGAAGCAGTGGGAAAAGATTATTAAAAACCGTTTCTTAAAAATCAAATTACTACCTTCAAAGGAAAAAAAATCAAATTACTCTTTATGAGCATGGAATGGAATTGCTTAAAAGTTATTTAGTTTTTAATGTATTTGGTTTTTTTTTTTTTTTTTTTTCCTAGCACTTGTGTATATCAGACAACTAGGGTAGCCTCTTTTCCTAGTATATCATGCATATAAATGAGATAACTTATAACAACAAATGATCTAGGATAGTAATACAATGTTTAATCTGGAATTGGATTAGTTATGATGGCCTCGTAACAAGTTGCCCCTAAACTTCACAATATATATAATGTTCGTTCCCTTGATTTATGAAACGTTAATGAAAAAGTTCCTTCATTTAACAAAAACTTGATGCATAATTAGCTATTGTGTTACGTAATTAAGAGTAATTTGGAAATCCTCTCTTATTTAAAATCTAATTTGAACTTAAAAATTTAGAAGTTTAATTCTAATTATTAAGGAATTAAAAGTTCTTAATTATACCAAAAGATTTTTTTCTTAAAAAAAAAAAAAAAAATCTCTAGTTCTCTCCCTTCTCTGTGATTGCATAGGGTACGTGTGTGTGTATTGCATAGGGTACTCTTGTACTTTTCGTCACTGAGAGTAGTATAAGGATGATTTTTGTTTACATAAAATATAGATCGGAGCGAAATGATGTTATAAAATAAAGATTTGGAGATGATACGGGTCCTAGTTTGAGGGGCTATATATATTTTTGAAATTAATCGCTTGAAATAATTACACGAGTATGTTTTTACTTAAGACTACGTGTAATTGTTTAACCTATGCAAAGTTTACGCAAATTAATCATTCAAAGTATAGCTAATGCAATTCTCTGAAGTATGGTCATATTAGTTATGACTAGTATACGTATATATGCATCTAATCAAAAGATATACCCGATCATTTGAACATTCTTCCTCACTTTTTCACTATTCAGGTATATGTTAGCCATGCATAACATCATTATTATTTCTCTCGCTTTTTTTCTTTTTTTTTTTCGAAATCTTATGCTAATAATAATAATCTCCATCGACATTGAATATTCTCATGACAAAGATTGTGCACATAATATATATGTAGCATTTTGCAGTCATGCATGTTTATCCTAGATAACAATATATATATATATATATAAGCTAAATGATTAGGATTTTAGAGAAGTGAGATGATTAAATTCGTGACTAGTTGCATGGCTAGTTATGAATATTATTGATGTGTTAATAATATCTAGTGGTACATTCTTCAAAATGATGATGAGGTTAATTCACCAGCTCATGAGGCTCTTCAAAAAGCTAGGGCAAATCATACACCTTTTTTTTTTTTTTTTTTTTTTTCTGAGATACGTATTTGATTAAGCCATAAAAAACTACGCATATGGGATTCTTAACTTTAATTTAGAATATTATTAATCAAGTTGCGCATTCCACAATCATGCAAGCAAATCTGTCTAACTACGTGCCCAGCAAATTCAGGCTATGGAAGAGCCTTACTTGTTGTCGTAATAATTTCTTTAATTTACAGTACCATAACTTCTTGGAAATGAGATATTCTATATAATTATATTACCAATCTTTCACAGTCATTATTATGACTCATTATCCAACCAACATAGTAATAATTGTGGTGACTATCAATGTAGTTAAATTATACAAGTGGGCTCTTACTGTAGGGACGTAAAAAATATATCCAAGATATACATAAACCGTAACATTCAACAGTTATTTATGCATAATGTTTATATTATGATGTGGTAATCGATGTCTAATTTTCTTTAATATACAATTAATCCTGAAAGAAAATCCCCAAAACATATGTGAGCTGTTTATATACTACTGCAGGACTCCTAAATTTGACGATCGAGAAAGCTGAATATAAACTTATGTTATTGTGAGTATTTAAATGTAATAATTATATCGAACAAACAATATACAAATCCTATACATTTCGTTATTGCATCGTCTATTAAGTACTGTATGCTTTCAGAATCTTCCAATGGTACCATAATATATTTTAAATTTTATAAATAAATAAAAAGTCTGAGAAAAAACTCAAATTAACTTGGAATCACACATGCCTGAGACCCAATAAGATATATATGATCAAGTAAATTACATGCATTAGAAAGCAAGAGTTATCAACGTTATTCTTAATAAGATTTTGAGTTTGAGTTGGCCCATAATAATAGAAAAGGCACATATGGATAATTAGTTCACTTTGTTATAAGGGATTCACATGCATGCAGGAATATACCGCTAATTAGTACTCAAATTATTCATTGTGATCACCTTCTATTCTTATACCTTTTTTTTTTTTTTTTTTGGCATTGTACGTATATATGTAAAGAAAGGTTAGAAAGCAAGATATATATTGAAGAAATAGATAATTAATACAGTACTTGACAATACAAAATTGGATGGAAACCAAACTAGAATTTCAGCCCAGAACCATGCAAATTCTGCTCAACAATAGAGTCCAACTTTTCAGCCATTTGAGGCGTCAAGTAATTCACCCAATCTCCGACCTCACCTCGCCGGAAAAACGCCTTGTGATCCTCACCAGACGGCAGTTTTCCGATCTTATTCACCTCCAAATTGCTCAGGCTATCAAAACTGCACATTTCCAACACATCCTCCACCTCACTCTTAGCCTCCTCTTCTTCAGAAAAAGGACAACCAATGAACTCAGCCAATCTTCTCACATGAAAAACCGGTTCTCTTTTCATCTCTTCAAAGCTCAAAAAAAGAACTTTCTCAGGCCTTTTAAAGCTCTCATTCCAATACCCCAAAGAGTGATCCCAAAACGGTCCGCACAGGCTCACTCCTTTGCAAAACTTTTCAAAGATCTCTTCCATGGAGTTTTCACCCAAGCTCTCGGGTCTCAACCGGTTTGCGAAGTGCCAATGAGAGACAAAAGCGTCCTTAGGGCTTCTGCAGAGATAAACCAGCTTACAAGCTGAGCTTTTGACTGATTCAGGTAAAGAAACATAAGGTAAATGAGTAGAAAACAGTCTTGGAGAAGAAGAATAAGAGATGTTTGGTCGGCGATTTTCGACGTACAGATCGAGCTCTAAAAAGGGTACGAGGACATGGGGGTTAGTTGTGAGAAGAGGGTGTTTTTTGGGGTCAGTGAAAACTGAACGGTTTATTAGAGAGAAGAGAATTGACTTGAGCCAAGTTGTGCCTGATTTCGGATTGGTGACCAGGAGTACGTCAGTGTCTTGAGATTGGAAGTGTTTTTGGCAAGCGAGAACGCCTTGAAGCTGCCTTGTTGTGTGCCAGAAACCTTGGTATTGATGGAGATGAGATGCCACCCAACCTTTCTCTCTTCGTAGAGAGAGAATCAGGTCTTTGAATTCTTGGGAGACTTGGGTTTCTTGCAAGTATTTTGGCATATCTGAAGGACTAGAAGTTTGAACTGGAGACATAGTTATAGTTCTAACAAGAATTAATACGTATATATATACTCGTGACCTTGTTTTATGAAGGGCTTATGTGCTATAGTATAAGTTTGTTGATCTTCTTATATAGAAGAAGCAAAAAAAGCGAGAAAAAAAAAAAAAGAAGAAGAAGCAAAAGTAAGAGTACCTACTCCTACAACTTTATAGTTATACTAATTTAAACATAGCACGCAGGGAGTTTTAATTACTGTGTTATTATTAAAAGTGTATAATATATGAATACAAAATCACAGCTTGAGGATAAGGAACGTGTGCGTACATGCGTGGGAAAACATCTATTCACCAATTTGAGGGGGAGTGGGAAAATGTAATCTTCATACAGCTGTATTAAATAATTAATACTTTTTTAACTATATAGTTCTTTGACTAAAGGGTATTAATCAAGAGTAGGAGATGAAATCTAATACCTATGCATTCTACGGGTATTTATCTCTTTTTCCTAAAAAAAAATCAGAATGTATATTTACCATTTTACCTATTCAAAATTATAATATCAATTTATAAATGAGGTCAAAGGAGTAATTTCATTATGTTCTAAGTGTAATAACTTTTCCCTTCAAAAATCTCTCCACTTATGGAAGAAAAAAATATGGTACATCCCACTCGTACTATTTTCTCACCCTAAATCCCTCCACCTTCTTCCTTGCTTCCTTCCACTTTTCTTCCTTACCAAACATAGTGTAAATCGAAGTCTAATTTAGACGTTATATGTAATCTTGTAGTCCAATATCCAGTAGTCTTGTTACTTTCTAAAATCGAGACGAAGAGGTAAATTAAGTAGAACCAAATTTTAGTTTCCCATGATCCCGTCCAACAATTAAAAAGTATTGCGTAAAGATTGATTTGAAGCATGGATTTTAGCGAAAGAGAGATTACGTATAATAAAACTTCTACATACAAGCAACGTACACCAATATCTGTATTATGCAACGTTCTCGAGCAAACTTAGTGTTAGTTTAAGAGAGGACAATATATTTGCCTACGTTCTCATCTTGGTCTCACATATGAAACACGCTCGTCGGCGGGCAAGAATAGAATTGAAATTCCAATAGCCAATGATTTTCAGAAAGATAAAGGCTTCGTCAGTTTTTCTGATTTGCCGAATTGAAAAGTGAATTTATGTGAGATAACACCGTAAGAAAAAAAAATTAGAATTTAAATTTTTGTGAGAAGAAACGCTTTAGTAAAAACTTGAGTTCTGATTCTAACAAATGAAATAAACATGGCTGCATAAATTACATGTTCTCTAACATCCAAAAAACGAAAGGAAGCAAATCCTTCAGTACTGTCAGTACGTTACCAAGAAATTGACAGGTGATAAAATGTCTTTTAACTTCCAAATCTACTCAAGAGACTTGGCGTGTTTCTATACCAGTTACTCGTAAACGTTTGCAAAGCCTCCTCGGTCACAAATAAGAAGCTAATCTTCTTCAATAACAAAAACGGGAGAAATATCGGGCGGAAACATGTAAAACCAACCCAGAATGAGTCAGCAGAAAGGATAACGATCAGAGTACAAAATTAAATCAGGGTTCAATGTCCGTCACCCCCAGTAAAATGGAATTGGGGTCATTGGATCCAAGTAGCGGCATATACTCCGATCCTCTCACATGAACACTGAAGCAAGCTACAAAACAACTCGCTACATCAGACAGTCGAGCAGAATTGAGAAGTAACTAAACATACCTTTAAATAAATCTACACGGGCAATACGATCATAGTCTGAGAATATAAATGAGATGAAAAGAAACCCACTCAACTAAGGTTAACCGATGAATCTCAAAGATGTCATTTTTGAGAACCTATTTGGGGACACATCTTTTAAAATGAAATTTAGAAAATTTTATAAATGCCATACAATTTTTAAGATTTTCACTTCTAAATATTAGACTTAAAACTGATTGTCAAAAAACCACAGAAACATATCTGATTTGTATTCCTAGAACAGCCAATAAAAAATAATTAATTAATTAATTAATTAAAGAAAAAAAGGTGTGCCTAAGTGCATAGCACTAGTGCTTTTGGTGCAATCAAATAATTTGACGAGAATGCAGTTGAAATATGACACTGTTTGACTTCAACAAGGGAAGCCTCATCCTAGCAGGAGTCACCTACATGATCAATGGTTCTTTACACTGAATAAATGGCTTAAATGAAGACACGCCCAGAATCATGCAAACCAAGCAGTAGTGATGTCAATACTCATCTATTATTCACTTTAAATGGCTATTTCTATTATTTCTATTCACGTTATAAAGCATGATTCCTGAGGAAAGAATAAAGATGCACAGTTGCACACAACTTCGTGAGAAAGGAAAAAAATATAAACATAATACCATTCTCAATCTTCGTGACGCTTTGAAGCATTGTATCCATCTTTGCTTTCATATCATCACTATCATCCATGCTTGGAACTACAAGGGTAAGCTCCCTGTAGATATCACGTACAAACTTGCATATATTCTGCGCATACTCAACTTCACCATCTGATATTCGACCAATTGCCAGCCGCATCAGCTCTCCAGTCAAGTCAGCAAGCTACACATCAACACAGAACCACTTTTGAACATATATCGATGACCTAGAGGCTCTACTCTGAATGTGCATTATGCCTACCAACAAAGGTTCAAGTTGAATATGCAAGTTGTGCGTCAACACAGAGCAATCGAACTAAAAACGTTTATGTGCCTGTGCTTACATCAATTATTTGTGAGCAATTGCACGTCTTCATGGTTTATGCATGTATGAGTATGTACAAGGATGATAAGTGAGACCAAAGCAATATTATGTCAGCAGCTTCCATTACACCGGGTTTCCACCTTTCTGGAAAGATGTATACCATAAACACCATTTACATAGACAGCATATACTGCCACATTTGGAGTTTGAAATTCAGACAATTACCCCCAACAGATAGTCAAGGACATTGATTTGCAAAGGCGCAAGGGATGGATCACTAAGGGGCAACAATGTTGCATTTATCTCATCAAGGTGCAAAAGAGTCCCAGTTCTGCAGAACCTATAGAACGTTGCCGCTTCAACATATTCTTGTACCTATAACGATCCAGAAATCAATAAGCCAACCAAAAAATACATGTACTGGGATAACAAATGAGAATAAAACAGCACCCCAGGTGAGTACGCTCGTCTTAGCTTCCAAAAGTCACTCCCTTGCAGTTCTTTTACCAATCGAGCCATATACTGATCAGTCACGGCTGCTAAATCCTTTTCTGCTTTTTCCAGAACTTCCTCTCTGTTGTATTTACTGACTCTGTTTTAAATGGAATTACAAAACGATTTCAGTGCATGCATAAGCATCGGGAAGCAAGCTTGTAAAGATAGGAAAGTGACCATCTTTAACTCAAATCAATTGCAAAAATCAAATAAAGCATGACAAGGACAATGAAAATCCAAAGATTTCATTTGCTTTACTAGACTCAGAAACACTAATCAACTTATCAATAATGAAAAACTTCAAGAAAATATTCTTACCTGTGCACCTGGAAAATGACCTTTTTGCTGTTAATGGTGATATCACGACTTGCTTTTACAATTCTTTCCCGCTTTTCATTCTACAAAAATAAAATAGTGAATAGGTAACTAAGAGAACAGATGGCTCTAATAAGGGAAATGATGCATAAGTCAATAAACAATGATAATGTGCTAAAATTGATTAAAGCAACTTGTAGGCTAAATGCTTACATTTAAACATTCTTGACACCTTTTTTTCCCCTTATAGTGGCGCTTATATATGCCTCTCATGAGGTGGGGAAAAAAAAGTGCTAAACTCCTAGCTCAATATTTCCAGTTGTAAGTCCAAACCATGCATTTAGTTATCCTAACTAGCCTCTAGGGGAATTATCCAAAGAAAAAGGTACAGATTTTTCACAAATTGGTAAACTAGTAAACAATAATCTTTTTTTATTAATGTCATAAACTTATTTTGTTAACTAAGACCTTCAAGGGAATCAAAAGCATCAAGCAAATATACAGAAGGGAGGAAAAAAAAAGGATTGAAGCTATCAAATTCAAAACAAAAACGTCCCTAGTAAGATTGTGAGATTTAAAACCAGACGTAATCGAGCTCGTTTTACAGAAAGCATACAGAAAAAGTCCAAGTAAAAGCAAATCGAAAAAAGGCGGGAAATTTTTACAAAAGCTAGCTTACACTGCGACAAGCATACTCGAGACAAGTAAGATTTTCAAAGTCGGTGGTTTCTCGCAAAGCACGGAGAAAAGCTAGGGATTCCAGAGAGAGAGAGAGAGAGAGAGAGAGAGAGAGAGGGCGTTTACAAGGGCATTGAGATAGTCGGCGTATTTGGAGAAGGCATCAGCCATGGAAGACTCGGTTGTCATCGTCGTCGCCCTCTTCGGCGTGCTCTGCGCCACCGTCCCTGCAACTTCAGCAGCAAAACCTATACGGTGTGAGATCGCGAACAATCGAATCATCAACTGTAGAGAGAGAGAGAGAGAGAAGAGTTACAGTGATGAATTCGCTTGGATTTGGAAGCCATGAGAGATGGTAACCTCTGAAACGCGCAGCCGCGGAAGAACATTAGTCGCTTCTCCGAGGTAGACCACTCGCCACCTCGCGGTAAAAGCCCGACGAGCGTAGTTAGCCTTACGAACGACGTCGTTTCGCTTCAAAAATTCAGAAAACTAAACCAAACGGCGTCGTTTTGACGCTTAAAAAAATTGCATAGTTCGTTTGGAAAACGCCGTCATCCCATGACTGTAAAAAGAAAAGGAGGTTTTAAAACGCATATCATAATTATATAATATGTTTTGTAATATTATAATTATATTAATCATTTTAATAATATTATTATATTCTACATCATAATTATATAATATATTATTTAATAATAATTTTATTGTATTGTATTAAATATTACAATAAATAAACATTATATTGTAATTATATATATTATATTATAGTATAATATAATATAATCATAATTATTATATAATAGTAGTTTTTTGTATTATGTATTATATTATATTTATATTTATATATATATATATATTATATTATAGTATAATATAATATCGTTGTAATTTTTAATTATCCACAGCAATTCAACTTTATAATTTACTAAATGTTATTATATTGATTTTAAAACCAGCACAGCTACTATAATTATAGTTTACCAAACACGCAACTACTTTTTGTAACAACTGTTTTTTCTTTCAGTACAACTAAAAGTAATTTTTCTAAAATCTACAGCAATACCAAACTAAGCCATTGTCCTGTTGTCCCCCGTTTCTCAGGTCTTCACAACTATGTGTTAGGGAGAATGTAGTAAATAGTATATTCTTTAAACTAAATTAATTAAATGATATATTTTAAAATTATTTGAAATAAATAACATTTTACATGGTAAATAAATTATTTATTGTATAAATGGTTTATTTACTGTTATTAAAAACATCTTTTTTACGTAAATTTTCTTTTTACGATTGATAAAAAGAATTTTTTCCATATAAATAAAGATTTTCTAAGAGTTTTACCATGTAAGTTATTTTCACTAGTCGCAAATGAATCATTATTTACACGGTAAATTATTTATTTACCACATAAATTATTATTTATTTTAAATAGTTTTAAATATGTTATTTATTTAATTTAGTTTCAAAAATATGTTATTTACTACAATTCTAATCACATAATTCTAATCCATGAACCAAACGTCTCCTAAGTAATTTTCATATACTCCTACAAACTAGGGTTTTACAATTGTGGCTCTTATATGTGTGTTTTCTAATTGTATTGCAAAAATAAGTTTTTTCAAATATTTAGGAAGAAAAAAAATTCAATCACCTCATCTTCCATCAAAAATCTCTAAATATCAATCCAAATCATAACAATCCCACTCAAATCTTCATATTATTAACTCCAAATTCGATCCTAAAAAGATAAAAAGAGATATATTTTAACAATTTAAATCCCACTCAAATCTTCATATTATTAGCTCCAAGTTTGATCCTAAAAAAAAAACTCAGTGAGTATTTGGTTGGTGGATTGAGAGATTTAAATCCCAGGACTAAGGTTGAATATGTGTTTGGAAGCCCAAAATGATTCTAGTGGGTTAGAATCAAAAGGGGTGATTGGGATCATTTGGGGCCCTGATTTTGGAATCAGGCCCCCCATGATTTTACTGTTTGAAACTCAATTGCACAATGAAAACCATTGTGCTCTCTTGCAATAATGCACCTTGCCCAACTTCCACCGACTGCATCCTTCCTCTCTCATACTTGGGCAGAGAATCTCCATATGTATTTCTCATTTAACTTATTATAATTTTGAGTTATAATTTTTTGTATTTAATTTTTTTCCTAATATTTAATTTTTTTAATTATGTAAAATTTATATTTATTTAAATTACACCTAATGTAATTTACACGGCTAAAAGTTGGTTCTTATTTTGGTCATGGTTTAAAATCAGAAAACAAGACAACTAAACACTAATTCGAATCACATTTCAGGTTAGAATCAAAATCATACTTATACACATCAAAACAAAGGTTCCAATAATCATGAATCATGATTTTAATCTAAAAATTCAAATTACCTTGATTCTAATCCTTATACTAAACGAACTCTAAAAAATAGACATATTTTAACAATTTAGCAAAGTTTATTGATGAAGTGCAAAACAAAAAATAATAAATAATAAATAATAAAGGACAAGCCAATAAAATCTAAAAAAGAATTTAGGGGAAAAAGTGCTAAACACCTCTAATAAAGTCCCATACCAATTACCACCTTCCCAAAACAAAAAAACAAAAAAAAACAAAAAACAAAAAACAAAAAAAAAAAGAAGTCGCATACCATGTTCTTCTGTAAACGACGTCGTTTACTACCGCAAATGGTATATTTTGTTAAGCCAACCGGAAAAGAAAACAGTTTGGCGTGCGCGCCCGCCTCTCCATTCTTCTTCTTCTTCATCTTCGATATCGCCGTGTAAAGCTTAAACCTTTGCAAAACTTTCTTCTTCTTCTACTAGGGTTCACAGAAAAACTGCAGACCAAAACGACGTCGCTCTCCGCACAAACAATCACAGCAGAGAGAGAAGAAAGAGAAAATGGTGACTCTGGTGGTGGCGACGAGCTCCGATCCGGCCTCCATCAACCCCTTGAATGCTCTCCTCGCCATGCCCGGGTGGAACCCTTGCCCTTCCTTACAGGTTCGCTTCATCTTTCACTCTCTTCTTCAAATTACTGCTTAACAACGACTGTGTCGAATATTCTCGATCTCAATTTCTGATTTTTTTTTCTCTTTCGATGAAAATGGGGAAAAAAAGGATATGAAGAGCTTCGCGAATGGAGAAGTTAGGGTTTTGGAGCACGAGAAGAGCATAGTGAGAGAAGATAACTTGGACAAGCGGTGGGAGGACGCCACCGGCGAGGTCGTCGACGAAGTCATCTTCTTTAGCAAACACACCGCCGTCTCCAACCGACCCGCTCTCACTGTTCATCCCATCGGTATTTTTCTAGTCCGTGCTAATTTGCGATGGAATGTGAATTGGAATGGAAAAGGAAAGAAATTGGAAAGTAAATTAATGAGGATAGGAATTTTCAAGTGTTTTGCTAAGCTATTTGGAATTGAAACGAAAAACAACTTGATTCTTTTTGAAATGTGCACTGAATTTAGGGATGGGGATTAGAATAACTGATTTGCCAAAATGTCAGCTTGGGGTGTAGGTGATCAAAGCTTTTTTTCGGTTTATACCATTGAAGCTTCAAGCTGGTTTCCTGAGGTTGTGTTTGGTATGAGGGAAAGAAAATTGGAAGAAATGAAAGGAATATTAAGTAGGTGAGAAACATGGAGAGAAACTTGGGAGCATTTCTCTTCTTGTGTTTGGAGGGATAAAAATTAAAATTTCAGTTTGAATCCCTCTCCTAATGTGTTCCCTTATCTATTAGATTTACATCCATCCATTCTTTTATATCCATTGATCCTTTCACCCACTCACCCGTACCCTCCTCCCACTTTTCCCTCTTACCAATCAGGGCCTTAGGTTTAACATTCCCTTTGTTGCTTCATTGAAAGACTTGGATCTCCTAAAAATTGATTCTAAATTTTAGTGGTAAACAAATGAATGGCTTTTTAACTTAATTTTTTCCTGGGTGGGGATTTTTGGGTTATGGATATGATAAATTGGTGCAGGGGTCCCCCATTTGCGTGAAGGAGATGTTGCTCCTCAAGGCGGGAGGCCCGGGTGGGCTGCGCCACCTAATCCTAGGATGGGGCCATGGCTTAGACTCTTGAAGAAGATTGCAGAATCTCGTAACCTAGTTCCTGAGTTTGAGGTATGTTGCTAGTAGATATATATTGACGATCTTTTTCCTTTTGTTTGGTTGTAAAGAGATTATCTTTTGTTGTTTTACCTCAATGTAGATTACTCTGGAGGGTACTCATCACGGACCTGAGACGAATAAGCCAACCATGTTTCTAGAGATTGGTAAGTTTCTCCTACTCTGTTCTGATTCTAGTCTTCTGTTACGTTTCAAGGAATGCTAGTCTTTGGAACAGTTATGACTTATTATATTTGCACATATCTTGAACCATCCGATACATAATGCATGGCTGGCAGTCACTGCTGAGCCCTAGTAGTTTATTTGTATAAATATTAGGCATCCTACAAGAAATAGATTTTCGCAGTTTGTATTTCTAACTTATGTCTTAATATGATTGGTTGCATCCTATTAATGTAGGAAGTACAGAGGAGTATTGGAAGAGGCAAGATGCATCGGAAGTTATGGCTCAGGTTGAGTAGACAGTCCATGCTTTTAGTTATTTTAGCATTGACATGCCCTACTTTGTTTTTCAATTAGCAACATTCACTCTTCCGCATTGGACCTTGTTTGATCATCGGAAAGTTTTGCACTTATGTGACTAAAAGGCTTAATTGTATTTCTTTTTCTTTTATTTATTTATTTATTATTATTATTTTATGGAAGGCTTAATTGTATTTTCTGTTTCCTTAAAACTTATACATACGTCTATCTTTTGTTTTTTGTTCTTTACATTTACCATTTGTCATCAAAAAACTAGTAGAATGTTTTTTGCTACAAACAAGTATTAGTAGAGATTGAAGGAAAGAAGTTGGGGACACAGCTAGGTCAGTTTATGTATTTCCACCTTAGTGTCATTGTATTCCTTAGCGTCTTTTTTAATTAAAATGTAAAACCCGTTCAGTTTGGAGGATGTCAGTGTAATAATCTGGACACTCAAAGTGATTTTTAGTGGTGTTTCCTACCTAATTTGTAATATTGGTGTTTGCAGCTGGTCTGGAGAGGACTGGGACTTGGAGGGGAAGCTGATGTGGGAAACTGGAGCAGGTATCATTGAAATAAGTGGCATTTGTTCTATTAGAGGCATCTCTTATGTTTTGATTTTTTTCCTTTCTACATTGTGAACTATTATTTGCCTACTTAATTACCATTTCCCATGAGAAGTATGCTAGCGTATTTGTTGGTTTTCAACTTCCATTAACTTGTTCAATATGTCAATATTTTCAATATTAATATTATCTTACTTTCTTGCCGTGTCTTAGGGAGAATTATAAGAAGAAAGTCCTTCTTGGGATAGGTGGTGGGCATTACGCACCCCGGCATATGGATATAGTTCTGTAAGTTTCAATGTCTTAAGAGTTTTTCCAATACAATACTCCTTTTATGACTATTCTGATCTCTTCCTTGGATCTCCATGGTGGTTCTGTTTTGCTGGTTTGACTCCTCTCTGGTGTGTGTCACACCTTTCTGGTTTGGCACTTTACTGATGGGGTTTACATGGTTACACCTTTGAATAACTTCTCTTTTTTATAGGAAAGATGGTATTTGGGTGGGCCATCTACTTTCGGGATATTCTCTGCCTATGGAAGATCCAAACCAGTCAAAAGCAGGAAAAAGTGCTGAAGGTATTGGTGGGACTTGGAGAGAAGCAATCAAAGCAGCCTTTGAGGCAACAAGACTGGGATTCCCTGGTGGGGAAATTATTGCCCATCTTGATCACAAGTAAGTTTACCAGAACACAATTAGGTGTTCCATCAAATAAGGTATTTGTATGCCAAACATTTTAGGTTATGCACAAACTGGGATTGTTCCATGCGGCGTGGTCATTTCTAAGTTATAAGCATTCCTTACATATTCTTCCCTCTTTGATGAACTCTAAGCAGCATATATTTAATATAAGGCGGCCTATATACCTGAAACGTAAAAGATGACAATTGGTTTCCTTTGCAAGCTGCAATATTTTCTGCATAATTACATAGCCTGTGAACAAGCAAAAGAAGAGAGCCAAAAAAAAAAAAAAAGATCTTAATGAGGTCGTTTTGCAAGTTAGTGCACTATATAGTAATCTATTTGGCTATAGCATTATGATTGATATGTGCTGTTCTGGACCACTGGTCTCTGTAGAAGGCTATTAGACTTCTATCATAAAAAATTCTCTTCATTGCTCAATTTTTCTTCCACAACTTCTTGGTTTACAGGAGTTTCAAGAGCTGGCAGAAGAATGCCATAATAGGTTTCTTGGGAGATCAGAACATTAAAATCGGAAAACCGAACGATTTTTTCCGAAGTTGATGAATAAATTATGCTGAGCATGCTCTCCGCACATACGACTGATGATAGTCTGACAGATTGAACAACCTACATAGCAGACACATCGCTTATTTACTTACACACCCAACAGGGTCATCTACTCATTGCTGTAGCTGAAGAATGCATGGAAGAACTCCATCAAGATGATTATCCATTGCAATACTTGGTAGTATTGGCTTTGTGTGGTTTCTTTTGGTTAATGGGTTCATAGACTAGTTATACACTTATTTATCAGAAATATTTGGGACTGCTTTATAATTGTTTCTTCTTGCATAAGCCGTTCGTGTTCTCAGCTTCAAAGCAAAAGTTATGATATGTAACTATAAATTAAAATCATTGATTATTAACGTTATTGTATCCATTCGAGATAGAGTAATCAGATTTTTAACATTATTTTAAATATTCATTATTTCTTGCTTGCAGCAGATAACATATAAAAAAAAGAGAGGGAATTCTTTATAGAGTTGTTTACACTAAACGGATTTATTTTAAGAGTTAGTTGGAGCTAGAAAGTTGTCAAATTTTATGTATGATATCCCATTCGTGAGTCGTGACACATCTAATAACTAATCCGCAATTTGACATGCAATGCAATCAGTTTGCTCAGCATTATTATTATTATTATTTTAATGAAAGTCAAACATATAAGAACATTGATATTCATTGAATCACCACACACGATGAGTTCTCTTGATGATCATGAGGAGTGATGAATAGTGGTGCTTTAAACATTAGCTGTTCTTTCATTTCAAGTGGGCCAAGAAAAAACAGTCAAAAAATATGAAGAAAGAAAATTAAAAAAAAAAAAAAAAGCGTGGATCCTTATTTATCCGAGAGAGAGAGAGACAAAAAGAGAAAAAAGAAAAAAAAAGAAAAAAGAAAAAAGAAAAAGTAATTTGAACCAGCTGGGCTGTTGCCCATGAAAGAGTCATCACTTGGTCGACGCCTTTAAACATATATGTTGGCTCTTCCATTCCATTTGGCAGCCATGTCTTTTTGAATTTCCACAAGGACACTGGTTACTTTACACACTCATTTTAACATAGAATAATAACTAAAAACACCTAAGATTTTCGGACTGAATAAATTATATTATAAGGAGCCCAGATCAACTTACATGTACATAAATCAAAATTTATTAAACGAAAGTTTCATTGTCCTTGCACGTTGGAATGGTCTCCAGAGTTGTCACGTCATATATATGAATATGTATATATATGTATATGTATATAATGATGAAATTGTGGTAATTTGTTTCCAATTGATGACATATGATATTTTTGGTGTCGACCAGTCATTAGCTAGCATTCATTCCTTTATCCCACTTAGACCCGCAAATAAACAATCCATTATTGCAACAGCCGCGTTTTATATTACAAAACTATTAGAATTTATCGCTCGTTTAGTTTGCTGAATTTTTAATTTGAGTTTGAATGTAATTTTATATGAGAGTTTTTTACTGTAGTAAAAAATTGAGATGTGATTATTTTTAATAGCTTTTTAATGTAACAAAATTCAAATTCTAAACTCAAATTGATAAAATAAACGAGATTTTAGACTCCGGATTAGAATAATGAGTACTAATTGAAAATGTAACACCAACTTCATTGAAATTTTTTAGCAGCATAACAACGCAGTTAACCACCTCTAAGTCGTTTTTTTTTTTAAAGCACTCGTGTATTTTAATTTTTTCATCCACACAAAGAATTGATGAGCCAATTGTCATCCACACTAAACTTTTCGGAAAGAAATAGGATGTACCATGCAATTTAATTTTAACTAGTGGATAATGATGAAAAAAGAAACCGATATGAGGCATTGAAAATCTCTAAGAGACATTTTCTCCAAAGCCTCTCTAACGATAATTCAATTTTTGACTATTAAATCTTATTAAAATTATATTAAATTAAAAAAATATGAAGAATATACAGTATTTTAATAGGTCTGAAGTTAAAAAATAAAAAATTACTGACAGTTTATTTTTTTTGATCTTATCAAAGAAATTCCTAATTTTCAATTATAAAAGATCAACTTCATTTTTTATGTTTGAGATTTTTTATTTTGAGTTTCTCTAGTAGAATTGAAAAAAATAAATTATTAATAATTCTTTATTTTTAACTGATAAATTTGTATTAAAAAATGTTTATTTTATTTATTTTTTTAATCTGATGTGATTTTAATCAGATCTAACGGTTAAAAAATTGACCCAACCGACTTATCAAAAAATGTCTTTTTTTTTATGGAACTTTTCCCATAGTTCCGTGTTTCAGATTATGGATTGTTGTCTTTTTCATTTTTTTTTCCTCCTCTTTTCTAAAACACAGATTAGCAATGAACTGAGGAGTAAAAGAAAAGTATACGCAGCCAAAATCAAAGAAACAGAAGTAACTTTTACTTATCAAAATAGGACTTTTTGGGTAAATTGGTTAATTAATATGATCAGTTTTTAATTATTAGATATAGTTAAAATCATATCAAATTAAAAAATTATATAAAATGAATAATTTCTTATGTAAATTTGAAAAATAAAAAAGTATCAGTAGTTATTTTTTTAGGCTTATAAAAGAAACTCATAAACGACATAGCTCATGACCTGCATGATTTCCCAACGTTAATATTTAAGAAACTCAAACCCCAATCCAACAAAGTCAAACTCCAATCACGGCTGAAACTCACCCCCTATACATTCATCACGGTTGGATCAAGCGTGACACCTTTGAGTATTTTTTCAAATCAAACATAGCATATAGATTTTATACTCTATAATATAATATGTCGGTATATTATAAAATCCGTATCAAACAAAAAAAAAAAGAAAGGAATTTCTTAACATTATATCCCACATTACCCATTTTTCGTCTCAATAAAACGTTAAGAAAAAAAAAATCCCACATTAGCCGACCAGGTCACTTTCATATCGTAAGGGACGGGTTTAAACTTGCTGAAGAAAAACATTTGTATTTTGGGTCAGACCCAACAAAAAAAGGGCAAAAAGGAATTTTGTCTTGTCATGAAGTGGGCAATTCATGCACGTAGGTCAGCCAAACTTGCCCTAAAACTAGCTTATGTTTTCTGGTCTTCTAAGCTGCTTTTGTCGTTTTCGTAAACTTTAAAGCCACCCCTTCAATTGGATAAATAAATGAACATTTTGGGGATTGATATCTAGCAAGAAATATGAAACCCTGGAAATAGAGCGCGTTTCGATTCCGTTTTAAAATGATCAGTTGTGTTTGGAGTTGTTTTTATTTTTAACTTTCACGATTTTTGAGAAAAAAATAAAAATGAGTGAAAAACGACGTTTAGTATAATTAAAGATAAAAAACGGAAATGAAAATAATTTTTTAATTTATTGTAAAATGAGAGAGAAATAAAAACGACTTTTAGTCGTTTTTCATTTTCTCATCTCTTGAGTAGAGAAAGAGACATTACTGAATTTTTTTATATTGAAAACAATATCTTGATAAAACTACAAAACGCATTTTCAAAAATAATTTATGTTTGAGATTGAAAACGTTTTCATTTCCATTTTCATACAAAAAATAAAATCATTTTAGAACGAGTTCCAAACGCACCCTCTGTTTTTGATATAAAAATAGAAATAAAAACGTTTTCAATATCACGCAAAAATTATTTTTGAAAATACGTTTGGTAGTTTTATCGAAATATTATTTTCAGTACAAAAATGAACTGAAACTCTGTTTAGTTATATATTTTTGAAACCATATTTTTATTTTTTTCTCGAGAAACGTAAAAAATGTTTTTAGAACCAATTTCAAATGTGTTGTAAGTTTTTCTAGAATGATTTAATTTTTTCTTTATGAGAGTCGTTACAGTGGAACATGTTATTTTACTCAATCGATAAGAAAAATGAGTCTTTACTGTTAAATTAAATATAAGTCATTTTATTTGTTTACTTCTTTTATTTTCATACATATATATATATATATATTTCAGCTAATAATGTGAATTTATTTATAGTTCTACGTACTGCTAAGAAAAAGAGAATCCCAAATTCAATTTTTCTTACGTGGGATTGTCGCATCTGCTTGGGAAATAAATTGTTGCATTAAAAAATTTTGAGCAATAATTTTTGGTTCCTAGTCAATTTTGTTCGTATGAAGCTATTGAATTAAAAGTTGCCCATATTGAACAAAATCAAAGTTAATTACAAGGAGTTGGTAAGTTGGCAATTGAAGTTATGCAAGAAATAGAGATCACGAGGAAAAATCATGTTTATAACATGATTTTTTAAAGATTATGTAATGTTGTTAAAACGTACAGGTCATTGAATACATGACTGGCATTATTATCAAATAAAGTGATCATCAATTTAGCAAAAAAAAAGGTGATCATCGATCAGAAACATTAACTGCAAAGAATTTTCTGTCGGTGCGGAGGGTGATGATTTTGTGTGCTGTAGAGCATGCAACATTAATATGATGATGCAAATTTTGCACCCACTGAATTTGCTGAAGTCGTCCTTGCGTTTTAATGTGTGATTGATTTCATTGGTCATCAACGTATGACCAGCAATTGTCCATCTATTTTAAATAAGGGAGAAAGAGAGAAATAGGTAAAATTTGAGATGAATTAAAATTAATAGGTCAATAGTTTATATAAGTTAATAAATATGCTAAATTATTATTTTCGTCAATAACTAATTTAGTTATGAACTATAACTTGATAAGTTATTGTCTATAATTGTTCATAACTTGTCTGGCTATGAACCATAACTTGACAAGTTTGTCCATAATTTATCTAGTTATGAACCATAACTTGACAAGTTATGGCCTATTAATTTCTATAACTAAAAATTGACCTATATACTTTCTTAAGCTTTTTATATTGACATATTTTTTTACTATTTTCTTTTAAATAATTAATGCCGCCTATGATTTCACCCTTTTCAATTTTTTGCCAATACTTTATTTTGATCACTCTCTACTTTAATCCTTAGCACTGAAGGATCGATTCCCATTATCCGGGATGAAATTGAAATTATGTCTTACATGAGTCTGTTAAATATAATTTAGACTAAGATGATTTTGGATTTATAAATACTAGTTGACAAAAGAATTGATTCATTTCACATGTGGTTCTAATAATTATTAAGTGACCGTTAATTTAGGGGATATATGAAGCACCATTAATCCGTAATTTTCTAATTCACATAAAGAGATATTATAAATACATGTGGTAATTACTATCAATATTGAGTAATTTATTTACTATCAATATTGAGTAATGCACGAG